CCCCAAAACCCCAAAACCCCAAAACCCCAAAACCCCAGAATGAAGTGACGGTATTGAAATATAATTAGATATGTCACAAAGATCAATTGGCAGTCCCAAAAACAAGAAAATAAATCAGAACTCTAATGACTTCTACGAGATGGAAAATGAAGGCGAGCCTCTTATACCCCAAGGTGGCTTAGTCAGAGATGGAATGTCGTTGATAAACATCGCAGCTTACGGTGTTGCTCATGTTTACAACGACTTTTGAGCCACCCTATGGTTTATGTATTTACTTTATTTTCTTACTTATCCCGTTGGCCTTGGACCAGGAAATGCCTCGTTAGCATTACTTTCAGGACAAATAGCAGATGGACTTGCAACCAATATTGTTGGGTTGTTGATTGACAAAACAAATACAAGAATTGGTAAAAACAAGCCATGGTATATTTTTGGATTTGTTCTAGTACTTCCAACATTCATATTGACGTTTAATACTTGAATCCTATGCGATCTTTTCTGAGATAAAGACAATGACGATAGACCTACTTGCAAGGGACTTGAGATGGCATACTTCATAATCTTACCAGCTCTTTTCAATATCGGTTGGGCAGCAGTTCAGATATCTACTATGGCTGTTGTCGTATCATTATCTTTGAGCCAAGGAAGAAGAGATAGATTGGTCTCTCTGAGGAACGGATTCACTTATGCATCAAATCTATTTGCACTAGTGGTTGCCATTATATTCATTCTATTAGTATCCAACCAGATCTGGACTTTCAGATTCCTAGCATGGACCCTCACAGCCATTGGAGTGCCTCTCTGATTATTTTTCGTGTTTCTAGTTCCAGAAGTTAGACTTGCAAAAGAAGCGATTTCTTATGACAAGGAGTATAGAAAAGTTAATGGAGAGAAAGAGGATAATACTGGGGAAGAAGAGAGCGAAAGTGAAGAGCATAGCGAAGAAAGCTCTGATAAAACTAAAGCACAGAAGACGTGGAAAGATTGGCTCAAAAGTGGAGCTTTTTATGTTCATGCTATTGTTTATACTTTTACTCGTATGGCTGTAAATGTCACGATGACATTGACACCTTTTTATTTGATACATGTTCTAGGGTTTAAGAGCGAGGAAGGTGAACCAGCCCCTCCTGAAATTGCTACTGTGCCCCTCGTTTCCTACTCTTGATCAATGATTTTCTCTCTGCTCTTCTACAACAGACTGGTATCCGCATTCGGGAATAGACTACATCCATTGTTTATCGGAACAGTACTAGTAGTTGGTTCATCAATCCCCTTCTTCTTTATGAAGCCTTCTTTCTCATGGCTGGTATACGTCACAGTAGGATTCCAAGGGGTCGGCCTTGCTATTATGCTCAACATTGCAACCAGTCTTATATCAGATGTCATTGGGAACGATGACCAGAGCAGTGCCTTTGTTTATGGTACATACTCCCTTTGTGACAAATTTGTCAATGGGTTCCTTCTAGTTGCTATAGGAAATACTGTAATCGAGAACGCAACTTGGCTCAGATGGCTATCAAGTGGACTTCCATTGGTTTCTTCAATCGCTACTTTCCTCTTCGCAATGATTGGAAAGATCTATTATGCAGATAAAATGAGGAAAGTGTCTGTCAAAAATCGCAAATAATAATCTCATCTGATGCTTCAACAAAAATCTTATTAAAGGGGTTTTGGGGTTTTGGGGTTTTGGGGTTTTGGGG